AGTAATGTCTTACATAATAACATTGAAAGTACAATTTAGAGTAGAATTTGCGTCACGAGAGTAGGATTTTCATTTCGTATTTTCCTTGGTCGTTCGGAATCCTACTTCATCTTGTTTTTTTTAATTTTTTATGTTCTTGTTTGTGTTAATTCTTCTAGTAGAACTATTGAAATTACATTGCTTAATGCATAGTTGGGCATAAGAGATGTGGATTATGTACATGTACACAAGCAAACGCTCCAAACAAACAAGCAAAGGCTCACTTTTGCTCACCCAAATTAATGTGCATACAATACATGTACATGTACATGTACACATGTACATGTACATAAAAGATTGTTAATATTTGTGTTTGTTAGTGTATCCCTGTGTGTGATGGCTAAATGTGATGTGTGTGTTTAATAATAATAAATACATAATACCAAGAGTGAATAATTATTTATCTACTCTTGATAATACATGTACATGTACTTTATGATGCTGTGTATGATAGTCATAGTGCACAGCATATTGTAGTGAGAAATTTATTAATGTATGACATGACATGGACATTAATGCACATGCACATTTATAGTATAAGTGCGTGGGTGAATCAAAGGCACTGCCCGTGTTGTATATCTCATACAGCACACTTCCGGTTCATACAGCACAGTTTGTGGTCCATACAGCACAGTTTGTTGTTTCCTGTTGTATAAACTGTGACCGCCCCCACTAAAAGCCACATCAGGTAGAAGACAGATAGTCCAGTTACTGCAGTCTCTTTTCAGTCTTTTGGTTCTCTTTAGGCTATTCTTCACTTGGCCTTAGGCTGGTGCCTTTGATGCACCCACGCACTATGACCATAAACTAGTAAAAGCACGGCTTCCCCTGTGCTGTACTGGAAATACAGCACTCAAGGTGTGGTCTCAAAAGCCATACAGCACAAGGCAAAAAAGCCATACAGCACTTGGCTTTGCCTTGTGCTGTATGGCTTTCTCGACCACACCTCTTGTGCTGTATTTGCTGTACAGCACGAGGAGCTGTGCTTTAACTAATACGTAATGTCTATCTATAATGTGTAGTTGTGTACACGTACTGGACTTATATGTTTGTGTGTGTGAGAATTATCATGTATCATAGACTAATCTATGATGTTTTATAATGCCATGTGTAGCACAAATTTATTATTATAGTATGAGTCACAAATTATTTACTAATTGTGCCATATACACATACATTGTGTCTACTAAAGTTAGCTACATTTTGTATGTTAGCAAGGGAGCTCTTAAGTGCTAAATTAACTAGACACCAAAATAATTTATCTTCATTATTATGGCTATGATTGATAGTTAATTTAGTGGGTGTGGTCTTTGAAGTAAAATGGCTGCTATCAAAATGGAAGTTTTAAGCAAATATTGTTGCAAACGGTCAGCTACAGCAGCATGGAGTTTTTAGATTATTGATCTGAAAGAATAACTAAGAACTTAAAGCCTTTAATTTTTCGCGAATAACCTTTATTTGGAGGTTCACGAAATTAATTTTTTGCGAATTTCAACTATTCTGCCATCTTGTATCATATGAAATTAATTTTCAAGGAATTTTAATTTTGCAAATCTTAATTTTTTTTTGAAATTTGAGAAAATTGCTATCCACAAAAAACAGTAAATGGTGATTTATTTTAACTACATGTACAGTATACCACAAAAAAAGGCTAAGTAGCTACTGCACAGTTACCTTTGTACTTCGTTGACGCTGCAATTGAATTGCGTTGACGGTTCGCTTACTGTACTCTGCACATGTGCAGTGAGACAGTAGCGAATTGGGAGGTGTGGTTCAATTACCTTTTAATTACGTAAGAGTACGGTGAGAGTACGGTAGTAACCGTAGTAACTATTAGCAAAGAGCAGCTGGCTAGAGAGAGACTCGAGGAGACATTGAAGGAGACAGTGCTAGCTAAAGCCCAAAGGATCAGAGCCCATCATCATAGTACGAGGCTTGTGGAGAGCGATAGAGAAACAGGAAGAGTAAGAGTTACAGTACACCATGAGTCTGAGGCAAGACCTTAAATCTCTGCAGATTAAAAAGCACCGTAAGCTCTCACCTGTGTACCACCATAGATCTTACTTCTTTGTTTACAGCGCCTTATTATCTTGTATTCTTCAAAGAAGACCGCTCTTTGGGCGTTGCAAAAGCTAACAATATCATTGAATTGGATAAGGAAGACTTGTTGGAGCCTGGAACAGAGTGCCACGTAAGATCAAAAAAAATGTATTTGATGGAATTGTGGTGACTCATGGTAAGTGATAAAAACTACACTATGTACAGTTATTATTTTCTTATATATTGTATTACTTGATGTACATGTAGGGACTGAAATTGATGTGGATACAGTTGGCGAGAAGATCATTAATAAGCTTTATACTCCTGAGTTTTTGAAAGGATTATTAAGTGATGACTCGGATTCTGATGATGTGACAACTGATTGCACTTGTGCTAGCGACTCAGATATTGATGCAAAGAGTAAGAGAAATGCTAAAAGGAAAAGGACAGATAGTAAATTACAATGCTATGTTAATGTGCATGTACGGTTATGATACATTTTAGGTGGTAAGCCAGCTAAGAAAAGTATGATGAAAA